CACATTAATAAGATAGTGATCAACATAACACGGCTCTAAAATTGATAAACTGCAGACACATTTTATCTTATCAATCATCGAATCATATGTATGTATACTTGAACACCAAAGTTATCTGATATTATAATTGTGTATACCTAACATGATAACATATCACCACGATATCATACTAACTTTCTTACACGTCACTTGACGATATGGGTCCCCACACACACAATGTAAAACACATAACGTAACATAGTGCATAGCTCACTCCAGAATGGTAACAATGAGGTAAAGAGTCATTATGCCAGCTGTTACTCCTTTTCCACGTAAGCATTGCTGGTGAGTATTTGAGATGATTGTCGGTAATACATATATACATTTGTCGTTTAGCGACACCGTGTGTTGGGGTGCTAAAGCAGTAGACCTCGTTACCATTTTAGTATACATATTGCTGTTGGTGTTCTCAAATATTAACGCTTTGCTAAAACAAAAAAACGGGGTGGTGTGTGTGTGTGTGTGTGTGTGTGTGTGTGTGTGTGTGTGTGTGTGTGTGTGTGTGTGTGTGTGTGTGTGTGTGTGTGGTTGTAGTTCTGAATATCAGGAAGTAGTTAACAGTTACAACATTGTCTACGTTTTGTATCTGGTTCTTCTATTTAAGCCAACCCTTTTGAAACAAATAAGGAGAATAATAGTTAATCAAAACAGTCTGGAACACCAGATCCGGCAATTGTCCAGGAATGTATCAAGACCTAATCTAAAGCAAATAAAATGCAGTATTTTTGGCACATATCCTATTGCTTTTTGGGCAGATTTTTAAACTAATTAAATATGTTATCTTTTTGTTGAACGACTGAATTTAAAAGAAAATTCATTTCCCATTGAACATAATTATTAACATATAACAATGCTTTTTTCTGGAAGTATGGTATTTCAACAAATATTAAAAATCTCATTAAATATTTTGAATCTATTAGAGTATTAGCTCACACTATATTTCTGGACACAAGATATGAATTTCAATTATAACTATAATCAATTATAATTTCGTTTCGATCTACGTTGAATCTAAGTCCATCAAAAGCTGAAATTCACCGCTTTCAAGCTTTTTACTTTGCAATGAATCATGGGTAATATTTAGGGGAATCCCCATCAGTAATGACGGTTTTTCTGCCTCAGGTAGTGAAGAGCTCGCTATCCGAGCTAGGATCGGTAGCTCAAGTTAGGACAGGGATAGGATCGTTTCGAGAATGGGTCTTATCCTAACGGTAGGATGTCCTAATTCCTGTCTTAACCAGCTAGGATCTGTCTTAGCTGGGACACTTTCGAGAATAGGCATCCTAGTCACTCTTCCAGAATATTGGACAAACCGAAAGACAGTGCTGGGTACAGACGTGGCAACAGTGGCAGGCATTACGGGATCCAAGATACAGTAGTCATGGCTCAACAATGGTAACAATCTTTCAGGAAAAGCTAAACAGTGATGCCAGAATCCTATGAACAGAAAATCTATATTACGCCCAAACAAGTAACTTGCACTGAAATATACATAGAATAAAATAGAAAACAAATGAAAATGGAATTATTCTTTCTGATCATGCGAGTGTATAGTGTTATGGGGATATTTACATTGTTACATCCATTTTCCGTTTGTACAGTGATGAGATCACGTCAGCGAAAATATATACCTTGGCGTTTGGTTTTTATATTATTGTGACAAGCCCCTGTATTACTAGCACCGTTTGAGGTTTGTCTGACAAATCCACAAAGCGTACGACAGTTCCAATTGGCGGACTGGATCGGTCTTGTAAAATACGTGCAGTTATAAAACTATCTTTACGTTTGGTAATGGAAAACACTGTCTGGCGCCATGTAGTATATCGTGTGCCAGTCGAGATGGTTCGTGTACCCACGACTATGTAAGGGGTTACCATGGAAATCACTGCAACAGGGAATGTATTAACTGTAAAGATAATGAATATGACCAGTATGGAAGATGCAGATATTGTCAAGACGGATGAAGGGGGGAGAATAGTGGACTCTGATGTCCCAAGCGAATGCCACACATGTGATTTTGTCAAAAATGAAAGCATGTGCTTTGTAAAATTGTCTAAGAAAACAATGCCAAAAACGATTCAGCTTGCATGTGTCAAGGAAAGGACATTGGAGCAAGAAGCAGGCTAGGCATCTCCATTGGAACCGATTGAGCTAAGGCTGTTAAAATCAGTATAAACACTGTAGATATAACATCAGTAGTGTCTGCTTCTACAGAATACTACTATGTAAACGTAAATATTACATAATTGTGACAGATCGTGCTATTTAAAGCAATCAGGGTGTGAACGTGTACCTTTACTCTCAACACAACGTTTTTCAGGTCTGTTTTCGATGTTGCTTGTCCCGGGTGGTTAAAAGCTCATAAAACGTCACGGAGGTGTTACCAATCGCATCTGTGGGGACAACGGAAAAACGATAGAGGATACATTGAGGCTTGATCAAATACTTGAGACATGAGATTGCCTTGAGAAAATACGCTAATGGACGAGTGTGTTAGACAAATTAGACGACAAATACACAATAAAGGGGTCTTTAGGTCGATATACGTAAACATCTGTTAGGTTTTGGATGTTTTTTCACAGACCTGATCAAGTCGGAACAGAGTCCAAGCACGTTTCATAGAAGATATGTTAAGAGTACAGAAAAAGGCTTTCTTTTAACCAAAGTGTTTAACTGTGACATAATATAACTGACTTTTAAGTTGGATATACTATTATTCTATAAATGTAAACAAACTTGAAGATACATGTCGTCCGAAGTATTTGACAGCCAGGGCCATGTCATACCAAACACGTCTTACTAATCTAAACTACCAATCTTTAAAATGTATCTATTTACAAAACACATTAATCAGAATTCATCAAATAAATCAATTTCTTTTATAAAAACAATAATTAAATGAAAATTAACATTTGTATAAAGATCCTTAACTGTTTCACATTGAAATATTTATTCCTTATGATGGAGAATCCAACACAGTCAAGCAGGACATGCTTGACTGTGACTCTCTCATCACAAAGGATACAAAACGGAAGATCTTCACATTTTAACAGGTATTTGTGATTATAACGCGTATGGCCAATGCGACAGCGTGACATAATGACCTCCTCACATCTGGACTGAAGGGTTGATAGGAAAGTTGTAGCAATGGGTGTGGTTGGCAATGAGAAACCAGGCATTAAAAACTCCCATTATTAAGTGATCGACATGACACCACTTTAACACCGCCAGACTGCAGTCATATTGTATCTAATCAAATCACTGGTGAGTGCACCTTGACATCTAAGATTATGACTCTTTCAATGTTCATATTGTTGTTGGTGGTGCTTAATTTCGTTTCATGTATACCACCCCATACTATTTGTGAACGTCTTGTGAAAAGTCGAAGTTTTTTTAAGAAAGGAGAAAAACGTTAATATGGAAGAAGGTAAAAAAACGTGACTACGATACAGGTACGATACAAAGTGTTGACAGGAGTGTTGTAGCAAAAAACGTTTTATGCAATGAGAAACCAGGCATATAATTCTTACATTGTTGAGTGATCGACATGACACCACTCTAACACCGCCAGACTGCATAATACGATAACGGCTACGTGACTTCAAAAACAACCCACGGCATTCCCCGTTGTTATATTTGAACGTATGAGTCACCCCCCAAAATAACATAACCCATAGTACATTCAACAGGCAGTTGTGGCAATGGATAGAGTCGTGTGCCTTTTACCGTTACTCTTTTTCCTCGGAAGTTATGCTTGTGAGTATTTGAGATGATCTCCGTGTTACATACATTTGTGTAGTAACGTTTAGCAACAGCGAGTGCCTGTGAATTAGGTCAGTAATCAGCAATACACCGTTTAGCATGCACCGTTTACTTATCAGTAATCAAGGTAGTTAAGATAAATGTCTAACGGTTAACTATGCATGTGGCGATGAATATGAACCAAGCCAAGGAGTACCTTATGAATATAATGTTATACATTTATGTTAATATCGACCAGGATTTCAGGAGTGTTACGTCAGTGCAGTCATTTTCATGCTTGTACCTGCGTGCTGGTGGCTGTGACAGTCACGGGATGTTAAGATCATCTCCCACCTAATACTTCCTTGTTTCGAATCATATCTTTAATATTATAGCATTATGAGTGGAATAATTCAAGAGTACCTGCAAGAGTCACAGGTGACACTGTTACTTTTGAACCTAAAAGGTCAAGCTTAAGTTCTGACCAAGGCCTAGATTTATTAAGCTCTCTTAGCGCTAAGATAGTCGTAAGTTAATGTTAATGTATGGCACTTACGACAATCTTAGCGCTAAGAGAGCTTCGAAAATCTAGACCCAGATTGATAGTGTTCGACTTTTAATACAAGCATAGATACTGGTGACCTCTATTACGACCAGAACTCCCCAATATTTACTTCATGCATGATGAATTACCAAAAGACATCCCCGTGAAGATCCGGGTTGGAATTGATCTTCAGCATCCTGCTTGTCGTGAGAGGCGAGTAACGTAACGGGATCGGGTGGTCAGGCTCGCTGACTTGGTTGATACATATCATCGTATCCCAATTGTGTAGATCGATGCTCATGCTGTTGATCACTGGATTGCCTGGTCCAGACTATTTACAGACCGCCGTCGTATAGGTGTAATATTTTTTATTATTTTTTTTTATGGTTCATACACAATTGGGATTTTTGGTTTTTTATATTTATTTTCACTTTAAAGCATACAGCTTAGAACTTGACAAGATTTTCCTTAAATGACATACAACCTGATACATTTGGCTTTTGACCTCAGAAAGCCACAATTTGACACAATTTGCAATCAAGGACATAAAACTCCCATTATAGACCAGTCATTATTGACAATATTTAGCAATGTACACTACTGTAAACCATAAAATCCATATCAGATGAGGGTTATCCGTTTTGGTTATTGCTTAATTGTACATTATATTTTGCAGATCCTCATCGTCCCATACAACACTGTGAAATGACCTGCGATACTTGCGCTAAGGGATGGTATGGGCCAAACTGTACCCTTGAGTGCTCAAACTGCCAAATCGACCAATGTGACAAAACAACAGGTGAATGTGACAACTGCAGACATGGTCACCATGGCAGGAGATGTAACGAAGTGTCCCCCACATTGTGGAGGAAGTAGAGGCGATGTAACCGTGATTCGGGGAACTGTGACGACAGATGTCTTCAGCATTACTGGGGACCAAGGTGTGAGAGGAACTGCAGCCGAATGTGCAATGGTTCTGTCTGCATACAAAATACAGGAGAGTGCCACCCTGGGGTTGCCGAGACGGAAGCACTGGATATTACTGCAATGTTAGTTGTGAAACAGGTTGTGTGAATACCACGTGTGCGCACATAACAAAAGCATGTATAGAATGCAAGAATTGAAATACCCATTCGGTGTGTGTGAAAATATTGGATTGTGTAATTCTATGTGTGATCAATGTTACAAAGAAGAGAGATGCAAAGCAACAGAGTACCTCGAAGTAAGTAATGTTACTATGATATTTAAGACTACTTCGTTCGTTTGTTTGTTGTTTAATGTCGCACTATTCCATCTATATGGCGGCGGTCTACAATAATCGAGTTTGGACCAGGCAATCCAGCTAACAACTGCATCGATTAAGACTTGTTCAATTTTGCACCAAGAAACCATTGTCTTTTATGACATTATTGCAGATTTTTATTGTTTCGATTACAAGTATTCGTGATCTTTTCGGCCTTGTTGATATTGTCCAGAAAGCAGGTAGTCGTTCGCTCTTTTGTTGCTCTGCATTGCGCTCGGTAATATTGGGATAAACAAATAGCTTGTAGACTCAGAGTCAGTAGATTGCGTGTCAGAATGGTTTCCATGTTAAACTGCATCATTGCATGTCAGTTTACTACTGAGCCAGATTAATACTGAGTGAGTGAGTGGGTTTGTCAATATTTCAGCAATACCAAGGCGGCGGGAACACCATAAATGGGCTACACGCATTGTACCCAGTATAAAAAGTGACGAGCGAACTTTAACCACTAAAGTATCGCTTTGAAAGAAATCTGCATAGGTTAATGCCATGGACAAAATTGTGTGATGCTGTATTTTATTTCATGCAAACTGTGCCAGGCTGTATGCCATTGAATGGGAACCGTTTCACGTTTAATGTCATGGAATTCAACGTGTTGAGCTTATGTCTTCTGGTTGGTTGGTTGGTTGGTTAACGCTGCACTTGGCAATATTCCAGCTGTATATCGGCGTCTGTAAATAGTTGAGTCAGGACCCGACAATCCAGTTATCAACAGCATGAGCATCGATCTAGCAAATGGGATACGATGGCACTTGTCAACCAAGTCACCGAGCCTGACCATCCGACCCCGTTAGTCGCCTGTTACGACAACCAATTATAATCAGGATCTTCACGGGTCTTTTCAATAGTGACCTCGTGAGCAGTTAGAATTAGTTACAACAGTGATTGTCCCCTTGACGAGGAAGTAAAACGCAAACGCTGCATCCAGGATTCGCACACAGATAGTTTGATGTGTTTTAGATTAAAGACAGAGAATATCTTTCTGACTTGAACTTGAAAATCAGTTTCATTTACGATTCAGTGGTGTTCACGTTGCTTATAATTTATATTGGTATGGTATTTTACTGCTTAGGTAAACTGACGAATGGAACCTTGGATGAATCCGAAACAGACGCACCAGGAGCTGGTTCCGTGATTGGTGCCGTGTTTGGTGTCATCGTGGTAATCTCACTGGTTGTCGTGGGCGTAATAGTCTACAGAAGATGGTATCGTAATCGCCGAGGTCAGTTCGTAACATTCTTGCCAGTAAATGTTTCAAGCACTACATATTGCACGTTAAAGAAACATATCTCTCCAGATTTAATGAATATATTATGCAGTTTATGTTCTTAATATTGAAGTTAAACGGTTACATACATACAGTTCTCAATGACATTAACGTGATCTATATCTTAAGATGGCATTAAGCAGCCGTCGACTCAAGGGAGACAGAGCTGGGCCCCTATTTTCGAAAGTATCCTAGCCCTAGGATATCCTAACTTTCATCCTAGGATCTGGGATAGGTGTCCTACCTTATTCTCGAAAAGTATCCTAGCGCTAGGATATCCTAACTTTGACAAATACTAGGATAGGTTCTGACTTATTCTAAGTCTATCTTAGTGGAAGTCAACACGGTGTGGTTCTTGTATGTTCACCAATTTTGACGTTGTTAAACAAAATAACTCGCCTAACTTACATTTGAATTTACAACAACACACAATTTTGATGAGTTAAGAAGAGTGTTTTGTGTATATATTATCAATGTATCGGTAATGAATAGACACACTTGTTGCAATGTACATATTCTTTAGATCTACAAAAGAGAGTAGTTCCATTCTTACCTATTCTCGGCCTGTTTAATCACAACATTGCTCCTTACTGTCACATTGCCGTTAAATGTCAATGTCAAGGCCAACTTGATAGGGGAAGCAACTCCTGTTTATTTCCTAGGTGAATTTTCAGTTTGTAAGATGACGCATAATGAGAGTTCAAGTCACGATTTTCATACAAAAAAACAAATAAAATGAAAATTATATATTTTTGCACATACCTTATTGCTTTTTTTGCAGACTGTTAAACTCTGAAGTAAAACTGTTTTAAATGTATTCAAGTACTAATTCACTCTATTTTTCTGGATACAAGATGTGTATTTTAATTATAACTATAATTATTATAATTTCTTCTGGATCTACTAAGTGCACCAAAAGTTGAATTTCAACGTTTTCAAGCTTTTTCACTTCGATTTCTAGTCTTACCATTTATCTTGTAAATGAGATTGTAGTTGCCCTTTATTTACTGTATGTGTGTTTTTATGGAATGAATCTTGGGTGATATTTAGGGGAATCCTCAACTTAATGAGTGTTTTTCTATCTCACCTACTGAAGAGCTCGCTATCCTAGCTTGGATCGGTAGCTCAAGTCAGCTTCTTTATCCCTTCAATGCAAACTGAAATGTAAAGCCATAAAACTGAAGTCGCATTGAAAGACCCACGACGAAGAAGTCCATGAGTCAGAGTAAAAGATTCACGAGAATGAAACTCATAATTTGCATTGAATGATTCATGGAGTTGAAATTCATAGGTTGCATTAAATGATTCTTGAAGTTTAAAACAATAAATCGCACTTAATGATTCGTAACGTTAAGATTCATAGGTCGCATTTAATGATTCATGAAGTTGAAATCTATGAGAAATTTTCAGTTGAATCCTATTTTCGAGGCGTTAAATCAGTTTGTTGCGTTGAATGACTAATGAAGGTTAAATCGAAATGTCACACTGAAAAAACAGGAAGTTGAAATCTTTGTTGATTTGACCAGTTTAAAAGGCACCTGTATGTAAATATGTTAAAGGGCCTAGATCTTCACTCACCATATGATACTCTAATACGGCAGTATACATACTCCCTTAATCCATTTTTAAGTGACAAATGCATAAGAATGTTTATCCTAAGACATATGGGATTCAATACTATTTCAAATTCTTGAAGAACGTTTGCATCGTTGTTTAAGGTGGTCGAGAGTCACCAGGACCTGAAGCAGTCAAAATGTCACATACAGAGGAGATAAGCCCACAGACTGACGCCGGAAACGAATCAGACAAGTTTACAGTTAAGGACGCTTCGAGTTCATCCAATATCTGATGAAACATTTCTTACACAGCCAAGAAGGTTGTGTTGATGAAAAGTCGTGAAGTCCTTTCCTCCCTGTACGAACTTTGATCCAACAAAGGACAGGAACAAATTGGTCTATGCCAGTCAGCACATGACGAACGTCAACTCCCTCCTCGAGAAGCTCACTCCACGCCAGGGTGTCAACAGTTTCCGGGAACATCTAGTGCAGGATGGTGACCTGAATGAGGCCTCTGATAACGCTGACACGTACTGAAACTCACTCATTCTGATGTTCACTTGACGCTGTGTAACCATTTGCTGACGACTGTGATTGTATCAAACATTATGAGTGAAGACAATACGGCACTTTATTGATATTATCCAAGCCTTCATCACGTCGAAACTTGATTACTGCAACTCGCTGCTGTTTGGAACATCTGAGCATCTACTTGGCAAGCTTCAGCGTGTGCAGAACACTGCAGCGAGGGTGATAACCCGTCACCAGAAATACGACCACATCACCCCTGTACTCCACCGTCTACACTGGTTGCCAGTCAGGTACAGGATCCAGTACAAAATACTGTTGTTAGAGTTCAAGTGTGTGAATGGACTTGCCCCCAGCAACCTTTCAAATCTTCTTAAAAGACACTACCCTCCCAGATCCTTACGGTCTGGTTCCCAGTATTTCTTGGAGGTACCAACCACACGAACAAAGACATTTGGCGACCGTTCATTCGCAAAAGCTGGTCCAGTAATGTGGAACAGTCTACCTATGCACCTGAGATCGCAAGAGAATCTACCAGCATTTAAGTCACAACTGAAAACTCATTTGTTCAGTGCTGCCTACCGAACTTGACCAATGTCGTTCCAGACTAATTTCCAGCGCTTTTGCGTGGCAGATGCCAGAAACTAGCGCTATATAAATATTTGTATGTGTGTATGTATGTATGTATATTAAGGTTCAATCATTCCCATAAGTCTGTATGTAAGCTGAGGTAAGATGAAACTGGGTTCAAGAAGATTTCTCTTCCACAGCAAGGACCATACACATATGTATATGGCTGTCTATACTTGACCCGACTGAGACAGTCTACGTTTGGACCACTGAGGAAACATACGCTAGCGTAAAAGTGATGCATCATTCAGAAAAAAGAGTTTCTGTTAATTAAAAATAATATGAATACATGAGAACATCAGTGGTCATATTGAAAACAAAATCTGATAGAATACACGCTTTTAAAATGACCTGTACATATCCACGGGGCTAGGGATTGAGGTTATTATTTATAAGACAATATATGTAGACATGCCTTGGTTTAGGAAAGACAGCTGGTAGGGCTAGATTAATGAAAATTTAAACAGTTAAAATTGATACTTATTTATCACATTGCAATACAGACCATTTCTGTGTAAATGAAACACTTTCTTGAAAAATATATTTTTCTATTCGACAATAGCGTCGCATTCTTTCAATAAAAAGATTTAATTGTGAAGAAGTTTCTCTACATTTGCTAATATAAAATATTCTTTTATTATTAGAGAGAGAATATTGATTCCCTAAAACATGGTAAAGTCAATTGTGCAGATCGATGCTCATGCTGTTGATCACTGGATTGTCTGGTCCAGACTCGATTATTTACAGACCGCCGCCATATATAGCCATATATAAAGATTCTAATCCGGGTCTTCACGGGGTGTAACACTTAATAAGTCGAATGACGATGTGTCGAAGTTTAAGAAACTTACAAGTATATATTTACGATGTTCGACACAAATGTTACATAAGGACAAAATAAGGAATACACAGGGACCAGGCTATCTATTCTCGAAACGTTCGTAGTCCTACGAACTTGTTAAGCCCATTCTTATCACAGTAGCTACGATCAAAGTTACGAATACTTAGGGCTACAAGAATTCTGAGGGCTACGAACTTTTCGAAAATAAGGGCCCAAGTTCTTACTTCGAAACAATCGTTAGTTGGATATCTCAAAGGTCGACACAACGCTGTAATACTGCCATTCGAGGTTTAGCTGACAATGATTTCTAAACAACCAGTCAACAGGCATCACTAAAATTTGAGCTCCCGCAGTTAAGGTAAATAGAGACTTCTACTCAATCCCCTCTATCAAATGAAATGTGTGCTGCCTTTGAGCCACCATTCAAATATCCTTTCATTTCATCTGAAGCAAATGGGATAACAGTGCAAGAAAACTTGGTGTAGAAGTAAGTTTGTAAAGCAAACGTATTTTGAATGAAGAATAATAGGAGTTTCTTAAAGAGCGTCTGAGTGGTATATATAGCTACTTGGTATGTCATACAGAAATACGGTTATACTGCGACAAGCTTGGGGGCGTATTGTGACTAATGAACTTCATACAGGGAACGTGAAACCTGCACTTTACTTCTCTTTGATATGTTTGAAATGGCGTCTGATTTTATTCCAATGACGTATAATGAGCAATGCCATTTCCGTTGCATTAGTAGTTGTAAAAATGTTCGAAATAATGCCATACGTCCCGGATGTAATGTTTGGGTTCTCCATTCAGATAGATAACGATTTTGCGCTCTTTAATATCGTTGCCTCAGCCCACAAACGAGACCTCCGTCATTTTGTTATTTTTTCTCAATTTCGTCTACGAATGAAATGTATCCTTAATATAGTAAGTAAATGTATGGAATTTTACAGCTATGTCACGACAGTGAACATAACCAGTGAGCCTTTGTATTTATATCCACTTGGGGTTTGTATCCGGACCTTCGGCTTGACAAACGACTTCTTCCAACACCAAGCTACCCCCGAACCCATGTATTCAGCGCCCTTAATGGCTGCGGCGTTTAATCCTCTCGGTCTGAGGGTCTGTTCAGCAGATACCACAATAAGATATCCTTTCACAAACAACCATTTGGATTTTCGGGGAAGTCTATCGTCGCACGTTTGTCGTTAAATCTCATTAAAACAGTGACAACATTTGTGTAGGATACATTGTGTGGTTGCACCAACTTTACCAACAATAACTCCGGTAAAAGTATGTACTCCGTGAGTGTTCAGTATTGCATTCAAATTGTTTCAGGTCAGACGGGTACATGTTTGTGGAGTATTTAGCTGTTACATATGTGTCGTCAGTGAGCTCCCGGGGAAACTCGTGTGGGTTCCGGGAAGGACTGCAGTAATCTTCATGACCTTAATCCCTGGTTATCAAAACAGTCACTCAAGGACCTGTCCCCAAAGCAAACAGATCTTTACACGTGTAACAAATGTTATAAATGTCCACCGATATTTGATAGGAGGTTGATAGGTGAACACTGTATGTTCCTCCAGGTTGGCACAAGGGCTGAGACACATATATGTTGCAAAGATGTGTTTGTTTGTTTGTTTTTTTACGCCGTACTCAGCATTACTCCAGCTATGGTTGTGGTGTGTAAATAATCGAATCTTGATCAGACAATCCAGTGATCAACAGCTTGAGCGTCGGTCTATGCAACCGATGAAGACCAATTCTAATCCGGATCGTCACGGGTATATGGTGCAAAGAAGCGTGGAAAGCAAATAGAAGGGAAATGAAACATATTGTGCCATTTAGCATATTCAAAACATGTCTGGATCATATATTTGGGGGCGATGGGGTAACCTAGTGTTTAAAAGGTTCTTTCGTCATGCCGAAGACCCGGGTTCGATTCCCCACATAGGTGCAATGTGTGAAACCCATTTCTGCTGTACCCCGCCGTGACATTGCTGGAATATTGCTTAAAGCGGCATAAAACCAGACTCACTCACCCATACATTTTGGCTTCTGTATTGAATATGAGGGGACACAAGAAAATGTATGAGGCCACGTAAGATAATCAGGACATTCCTTTGAAAGCATATGACTTCAGCCTTGAAAACCTTGAACTGTTGAAAACAGTCTGATCTTGTGTGTACCAAGTATGCAAATGCGTAATAATCACAAACATTACACAATAACACACTTCCAGTCACGTGCTATTTCCCACCATGTCCTACCTGCTGGACTGACGTCAGCAGCTGCTGATGGCAGAGGATAGAGTCATCCTCCTGATGTTGTTCCTTTGGTCAGTATTTGGTATCATGATTCTTAGTAAAATTTATGTTTGTTTGTGGTAACGTTTGGAGACTCACAGGCTGGTTTCATCAGGGGTCAGTAATGGATGTATGTGATATTTGAGTGAGTGAGTGAGTTAGCATACATTTACGCCGCTTATTCAGGTACTTTTGATTCCACGGACCTGTAGTACATATAGAAAATTTGCACATAATTTTAATACAACAATGTGTGGTATATATGAGTGAGTAAGATTAGTTTTACGCCGCTTTTTGCAATATTCCAGCAATATCACGACGGGGGACACCAGCAATGGGCTTCACACATTGTACCCATGTAGGGGAATCGACCCTAGATTTTCGGCTTGAAAAGCGAACTCTTTAACCTCTAGGCTACCCCACCGCCCAAGTGGTATAAATACATAGACATGTTTTGTGGTGTTTATTTTTATTGACTGTTTAAAAGATATCGTAATTCCACAGTATCTGGATCATTACAACAGTACACAGGAATATATCAGATTCTTTCAATTGGAGTTGAGTCAGATACACATAAAAGTGAAACGTTATATTCATCCTCGTTATCTCGATAGTGACACATTTCACATTATCGTTCTGACCTTGGGGTTTTTTAATATCGCCCACACTGGGTGCAAAGATCAGGGAACGACAAACTCGTAAAGCTTTATTGACCTGTGATAATTAGGACGAAGTACAACAGTCGAGCTTTGAAGTGATCGAGTAGCTGGTATAAACAGACAGGAAATACGTAACGGACAATGACCTTTAACCACGAACTTAAAGTCCCTCTTCAACATGAGGGGCCGTGGTGGCTCGTGGTCCTGTGCTTAAAAGCTCAGGTCACAAATCGGTGAAGTTAAGCAGCGTCGAGCTCGGAGAGTCCTTGGATGGGTGACCGTGTTTGGCAGCTTGACTCCTGAGAGTTTCTAGGACTTGAGTCCTGCCCCACAACGAAGCACATGTGACACATGTGGTCTCACCTTAGGCAAGTGAGTTTGTTCATAATTGTCTCTGTTCACCCAGCAGGAAAATGGGTACCCGGTGGAAAAAAAGTCATATGACTTTAACCTTCTAGCGCCTAGCAGGCAGTTTGGGTTATCCGGGGTAATAATGGCCTTGATTGTGAGCGCTATGAGCATACCTAGTGTGGAGTTTGGGGCTATATAAATGGACACATTATCATTATTCAACATGGTGTTCAGACGGTTGCCGACATTGATCAACGTACCAACTTCCTTGTAGTAGGCTTATTGACATCGATTCCGTAGACCTTGACTGTAACCGGAGCCTCGGTTCACATGCCAACAGGCCTGGGAGGGTGACTTGAGCCTATTCGAATTACCAGATTGACAGTGAGATTGGTCTGTTGGGGAGAGGTAAATCTGTCCTCAAGTCTGTCGTGCGATCTTGCGACCTTGGATCCAAGTACTGCTTCGTATAAGTAACCTCTGTACATTGCTGAGGGCACAAAGCTCATAAGGCGTTCAAAACAATGTGTTGTATATACGAGTGAGTAAGATTAGTTTTACGCCGCTTTTTGCAATATTCCACTAATATCACAACGGGGGACACCGGAAATGGGCTTCAAACATTGTACCCATGTGGGGAATCGAACCCGGGTCTTCAGCGTGACGAGCCAACGCTTTAACCACGAGGCTACCCCACAGCCCCATGTGGTATTTGAGCACCGAATACTTTTGCATGATTTCATATAATCGATAGCCTGGGTATGCATGTGTCAGACATATCCAGAGAACCATGAATACCAATGAGTGAGTGAGATAGTCTGGAACAGACAATCCTGTGATCAACAGCATGCGCATCCATCTACGCAATTGGGATAGGATGACATGTGTCAACCAGGTCAGCCAGTCTGACCTCCCGATCATGTCAGTCGCCTCTTACGACAAGCGTGGTTTACCGAAGACCAATTCTAACCCGGATGTTCACGCATCGTATGGAAAAAGTAAGTGAGCTCCCATTAGTACTACAAACTACTGTATTTCTAGGACGTGACAGCAATTCTACATGTCCTACAGGTTTCTAAATAACTGATGGCAGGTGGCTCATGTGCCCACGTTTCAGAAAGGCAAGAAAGAACACTCATCAGAGTGAGTGAGTGAGTATGGTTTTAGGCAGCTTTTAGCAATATTCCAGCAATATCACGGCGGGGGACACTAGAAATAGGCTTCACACATTGTACCCATGTGGGGAATCAAACCCGGATCAGCGCGGCGAGCGAATGCTTTAACCACTAAGGCTACCCAAAGGCCCTGAGAGAGAGTGAGTGTCGCTGTCTTCGCGCTGATCATTAAACATAATGCGTTGGCACGAGTGCAGTTTGTTTGACGTCAGTCCTCCAGGTCAAGATCACACTAGTTACCGAAATGATCATTAGCTGGCTTTGCAAATAGATTTACCTATGGCCACACACAGGTGATTTATATCGTGTTGGGGTACCCAATGACCTGTATCTATTAATAGCTGACTCCGGAAAACCAGGATATGTTATCGTGACAGATCGTGCGCGGCTGGAGTGTGAACTGACTGTGTGCAGGGGGCGGACCCAGGTGTGTGTGTGTGTGTGTAGCGCGCGTGCGCGTGCGTGCGTGCGTGCGCGTGTCAGTGTGACACCTAGATAAGGGTGAGTGGTGGGGGTGTGTGGGTGGGTGGGGAAAGGCAGGGCAGAAGTGGGACAGGGCATGGCAGAGGTATATGCAATGTCAGTAGTGCACTATCCTAACCACGACCACGTTGCTGTTATCTGAGAGACTGAGATTGAAGGTCACTTGATCACAGCAGAGTTACACAGAATGATCATTATGAGTTGGCGACATAAAATACAGCATTGCTTTCCCACGTGGATCTAATTTTGGTCCGGAAATACCCATATATTTCGAAAGAAGCCTAATATGTATTCCCAGCCACAACAAGAAAACGGGTCAGTTGCAAGAAATTACTGAAGGCCAACAAACAGTCTACTGTTTATATCTATAGACCAAAAGTAGTCATCCAAGTTGGTACCATGTCAGGAAACATCGCAGGTTTTTAATCCTCTTCATCACCCGTGGAACATCTGACTGTTACTCAAAACTAGGTTGTCGGATTTAAACACACATCGCTTTCGAACAAGGAACTTACTGGATTAACTGAGGCCCCTTTCGAAAAAAGACAAAATGTTTACTGTGCTGCTTGTCACCGGCGTTCTCTGGCTTGTTTCCGGGGATTGTCAGCCTGGAACGAATCAAGTGTTATAAGGATGGGTGAGAGAGGGTTCAGTACTGCGTGGAGGAGAGACAACGTTGTTACAACTGCGACGACGTCAAAGACCTCTGTGGAACTGAAGATTTGCCGTTACAGTGTGACGCCTTTTGTGCAGGTACTAACATACCTCAAGATCAGGGTTAGAATTGGTCTTCAGCAACCCATGCTTGTCGTAAAAGACGACTAATGGGATCAAGCTCGGTTGACACATGTCGTCGTATCCCATTTGAGTAGATCGATGTTTATGTTGTTGATCACTGGATTACCTGGTCCAGATTATTTACAGGTCGCCGCCATATAGCTGGACTTTGCTGAGTGTGACGTAAAACGACACAATAGAGAAGAGAGATGTATAAATATGACGGAAAATAGGTCAGCTGTACCCAGCGCACATTCATTGAGGTCCGTTATCTATCAAATCTATCTATCAAACGCAGTTATGGGCAGTATATCAAATCGGTGTCTACAATAGGGAAAGCACTTGATGACCCCACGGTGTTAAATCTCAGCATGTTTGTATCCGGATCAGTACAACGTGTCTAAGTGGGACACGGGTCAGTAAATCAGCCTTGAGACATGAAATCCCAAATGTTTTCAGCTGATGACACATGCTTTGCCTTATCTGATGGTGGGGAAGTCAAATGTTGCATTGTCCTTATGAATTGTTGAACCAATGTTTGGTCCATACTCACGAAACATAACAATAATCGTGTCCAAATTGCTTAGATCGATGCTCATACTGTTGATAACTGGATTGTCAGACTCAGTTACTTACAGATCGCCGCCATATTGCTGGAATATTGCTAAGTGCGGCTTTAAACAAACCAACAAATCACATCATTATCACTCATGTCAGCGCGAAATCGGAACTTACAAAAGCGCCCGTAAAATCTACAATTTCATCCCAGTCCACAGGTGATTGCTCCAAAACAGTGAATGAGTATGGTTTTACGCCGCTTTCAGCAATATTCCAGCAATATCACGGATGATACTAGAAATGGGCTTCACACGTTGTGGCCATGAGGGGAATCAAAACCGGATGTTCCGCGTGAAGACCGGACGCTTTCACCATTAGGTGAACCAGCCGCCCAATGACAAAATCAAACTGGTTAATTGATATATCTTTATATGCAATCGTATAGTGAAGATACTGAATAACTGTGAGCTTACAGGGAGTGAGTGAGTTTAATTTTACGCTGCACTCAGCAATATTCCAACTATATGGCGGCAGTCTGACCAGATAATCCAGTGATCAACAGCATGAGCATCGATCTGCGCAATTGAGAACCGATGACATGTCAACCAAGCCAGCAAGCCTGACCACCCGATCCCGTTAGTCGCCTCTTACGACAAGCATGGGTTACTAAAGGCACATTCTAACCCGGACCTTCACGGGTCGTGAGCTTACAGGAACAAACGATGATATAATACCGTATAGAACCGACTGATGATTGAGTTTGGTTTTACGCCGCTTTAGCAATATTCCAGCTACATCACGGCGGGGAACACCAGAAATGGGCTTCACACTGTACCCATGTGGGGATTCGAACCCTGGCTTCGGCGTGACGAGCCAACGCTTTAACCACTAGGCTACCCTACCGCCCCGTATAGAACCGAACAGTACTGCGTTTAAAGCAACAATGCCTTTACTAAATTGTCATTTATTGCCTGAGTGTTTGATCGTGTGAATTGAGATCCCCACTGTCGAGGTAAGGTAGGTATTTTGGAATATGAACTTTGGAACAAGACGTGGTTGGCTTTTAGAAAACCTTTTGACAGAAATCTGGTAAAACGCTCGCTTTGGCAGAAATAGCTGCGCCAAATGCATTGAGTGCCTGTTTCAATTTCAGTAAAGTCGGTCTTGGAACAAGAAAAACAGCAAAACGACACGATTACTATGCAAATCGTTACTATGCAAAACGCTCGCTTTGGTAGCTATGCCAAATACATTGTGTGCCTATTTCAATTTCAGTAATGGCGGCCTTGGAACAAGAAAAACAGCAAAACGACACGATTAGGGAAATCATTCAACGCGGCAGTACAACCATACAGACACTCCAACACGACATCGCTACAACCAACCAGTCTCTCCATAATGCAACACGTTACCTACAACGTCTCCAGGGAAACAACGACGACCTCCGAAACACCATTGCAGCAAGCAACATCACAGTGAGAACACTGAAGAATGCCGTCTACCAACTGGAGAGGAGCAATGAAGGCTTAAAGACAAAGCTCGCCAAAATGTCCTATTTACAGACAAACTATACATTAATGGCTAAACGACAGTCTGACTTGGAAGAGCAACTGCAAGGTAACTCTCTAGTTACGGGATAACCTTTTCAAGTTGGGGTTGTTTCTTGAATTATTTGACTAAATGTTATTTTAGTCAATACTTAAAGAAATAAGGGCGGTAGGGTAGCCTAGTGGTTAAAGCGTTCGCTCATCACGCCGAAAGCCCGGGTTCAATTCCCCACATGGGTACAATGTGTGGAGTCCATTTCTGGTGTCCCCCTCCGTGATACTGCTGCAATATTGCTAAAAGCGGCGTAAAGTCCAAGTCATCCAGTCATCCAGTTTCATTTGTTGTGTTGGGGATAAATATTTGTTCTTTTCATCCTACATATACTGTCAAATGAGCTTTTGACCAGCAGAAAGGCGAAAGAAGTGTTTTAAGTATTCACTGGAACAAATTTATTGTAATGTAAATCCCAGGAAAGCGATGATTATCACATATCACTTGAATTACCTCCATTTGAGTGTACTGTTTTTCAGGCTGTGTGAGTGGATTGATTCTGTGCTCACAGTATCGACCATTGGGCTGCCTTAATTGAATTTACCTTCAGTCGTCATATAGCTAGGACAGAGCTTGCTGCGGCATAAAACAATATTTACATGAGTGTAAAATCGTTAAGTCCTCTTGATTTGCATAGTAGGGGATTTGTGAACCGTTCATGAAATCATATAGATTTTTGGTTGTATATTATCTTCGTTTAGGTCAGCAGATAGCCACAGGTATACTATCGGTGATCCTGCTTGCCATGCTGTGTTTCATCCTGTGCAGATGTCGACCTCTCAAACAAGCTCTTTAAAGGTATCTATCTATCTGCCCTGCATCCAGATTCACACTCTTTTCTGCTAAGGGGGCAATAGGGTAGCCTCGTGGTTATCGCGTTGGCTCGTCACGCCGAAGACCGGGTTCGATTCCCCACATGGGTACAATGTGTGACGTCCACCTCTGGTGTCCCCCGCCGTGATAATGCTGGAATATTGCTAAAAGCGACGTAAAACCATACTCACTCACTTTCTGCTAAGTTTCTGCATTGGTTAGACTAATCTCCGAAAACTCCTTTATATCAGCACAAGACCTTTCGCCGTTCAACGGCTCTTTCGGTGTTTGATTGTACACAAGGACAAACGTATAACATACAGTATCATAGTATTACAATATAATGTGCTTCACAAAACAGTTCAGAACTACACGATTCTTTCTTATCAGTGTAGTTAATCCGTCATGGTTTGATGTTACTCAACGTTATACAGCATTTCAGTTATACCGTAGCGAGCCTGTGACACTTAACCTACAATTACCCTTTCTTGGTACCTTCAACTTTCATTGGGGGCGGTGGGGTAGCCTAATGGTTAAAGCGTTGGCTCGTCACGCCAAAGACCCGGGTTCGAATCTCCACATGGACACAATGTGTGAAGCCCATTTCTGGTGCCCCCCCCGCCGTGATGTTGCTGGAATATTGCTAAAAGCGGCGCAAAACCAAACTCAGTCAGTCAGACAACTTTCATTGCTGAGAATTTATGTGCGTGTCCAGAAGGTATCTCGAGATATTTAAAACGAGTTCATCACTCACATATAATTTTGTGTTTTCATTTAGTGTTTGATCCAGAAAAGGAAGTCCTTAGTGGGTGACACCGACCTTGAATTAAAGGACACGAAAACGACCTCGAACTTAGAGGAATCCATCACCGAGGTCAAGGTTGACTTCTCACTTCGAGACCAAGAAAAAGAAGACGCTGTGTCGGATGATAGCGCTGTCGTCGCTGGATCCTCAGTTGAGAGCGTTAACGTGGAGAGTCTTCGGGAACACAAGCCTGACGGCTCTGATGATAGAGCCAAGGGCAACCATGGCCCAACATCCGACTCTCCAGATCAAAGGGACGTAAGGTGTAACAGCAATGGCTCCAGTCAGGACACCCGCGGGATCAACCCAACGCTTGATGATCAATCAGCTGATATAAGACTTGCAATTGACAAGCCTTTCAGCAGGGTATATAAACATGCGGCAATGCCAAATAATGGCATTAGGTCACAAGAGGCATGAGATAGACATGTCAGGAAATAAAGAAATTGACCAATCATGTTGACATGAAACAGGCTGATCCAGAGTTTACCGAGCAGACAACGAGATATGACCCCACCATTGTGTTTGACAGGGATAATTTTACACCAGTTATTTCTACGACTTTCCGATATCTGTCCGTCTCCTCGCGGCAACTCGACCAGTGGTTATAAGAAACTATTTAACGTATATTTGAAGTCAAACTACAGTGGATAATACGCTAATCAGAAGCCAAAGTAAATCCTCAACGATGCAACAATATATGTCAACCCACAGGCGGACAAGTTCCAAAAGTTTACAAGTAGCGAAAGCTCAAGGCAAAAGTTAATGTGAGACGTTCCTCAAGGTATAATGCGACCTGGCGTGACGTCAGTTACTGTTACATCACATGAATGCTAAATAATTTAAGGAAATTACATGAATGCTAACATCCTGTGCCAAAAGCGGACAAAGACGTCAATGGCACCACAGTTCAATTTGCAGAATTTCTGCGCAAAGAGAAGCCGATGAGCGCAGATTCAAATTCCGATTTTCACGTATCTTGTTTATTTGTAAAGTCAGTATTGTCGATGGAAATCTCCAAAGGGGCTTATGACAATGTAGTTGTGAAAAGATGTGTTATGTCGGATGTAAACTTCGAGTATTTGAGAACAACAGATATACTAAATATATGCCTTAACATTCAGCCAACTGACAAGGCAAAGATGTGGAACCCAGAATCGCCACTTTTGAAATAACAACAACAAACCCACCCCTCCCCACCCACCCCAAAAGAAAAAGACAAAAGACAACAACCCCCAAAAAACAAAACAAACACAAAACAAATGCACAAAACAAAACAAAAACAACAAATGGAAACCAATAACATAACAATAAAACAAAACAACAAAAAAGCCCAAAACAACAAATATATAAACAACACCTGAAAGACAAAACAACAAAAAGACAAAAAATGCCAAAAAAAATGCAACAATACATACCATCGGCAACCACTACCCCAATAAAAAACTACAGCAACAACAAAACACACAGAGGAAAACCCACCAAACCTCCACCATGAAGAATTATAAAGAGCCTATTTCTAAATATTTTTGTCTTGGAGGTTTCTCGTAAGGACCAGTTACTTTGCACATTCGTTATTATTCGTTTATTTATTGAATGAAGATCCGCCTTAATGCATCCCATGTCATGGCCAAATGAGTATTAATTATTATATTTGAATGTGTGGATTTTACACATATCAGACACCATTTAAGTGATAATGTTCCAGCCTCATGTGAACTTTTCACAACTGTTTCAAGCCACTTGATTTTAACATATTTAAATGAAATTAAACTATTCGACAAATTCTAGTCATTTTGTACCCTTAAATGTGATATTTGACTGACATTTTAGTGATTTTGAATCAGTTTGATTGTATCTAATATACAGTAAACCACAGGTTCAGTTAACTCAAAACCTGGAATACATTTAAACCTTTCTTACGTTCTGTTTTCATTCAACTAGGTCGAGGGGCGGTGGGTGAGCTTATTGGTTAAAGCGTTCGATCGTCATGCCGCAGACCGGGTTCCATTCCCCACGTGGGTACAGTGTGTGAAGCCCATTTCTGGTGCCCCCCGCCGTGATGTTGCTGGAATATTGCTAAAAGCGGCGCAAAACCAAACTCAGTCAGTCAGACAACTTTCACATTGCTGAGAATTTATGTGCGTGTCCAGAAGGTATCTCGAGATATTTAAAACGAGTTCATCACTCACATATAATTTTGTGTTTTCATTTAGTGTTTGATCCAGAAAAAGAAGTCCTTAGTGGGTGACACCGACCTTGAATTAAAGGACACGAAAACGACCTCGAACTTAGAGAGGAATCCATCACCGAGGTCAAAGGTTGACTTCTCACTTCGAGACCAAGAAAAAAGACGCTGTGTCGGATGATAGCGCTGTCGTCGCTGGATCCTCAGTTGAGAGCGTTAACGTGGAGAGTCTTCGGGAACACAAGCCTGACGGCTCTGATGATAGAGCCAAGGGCAACCATGGCCCAACATCCGACTCTCAGATCAAAGGGACGTAAGGTGTAACAGCAATGGCTCCAGTCAGGACACCCGCGGGATCAACCCAACGCTTGATGATCAATCAGCTGATATAAGACTTACAATTGACAAGCCTTTCAGCAGGGTATATAAACATGCGGCAATGCCGGAAATAATGGCATTAGGTCACAAGAGGCATAGAGATAGACATGTCAGGAAATAAGAAATTGACCAATCATGTTGACATGAAACAGAGCTGATCGAGTTTACCGAGCAGACAACTTGAGATATGACCCCACCATTGTGTTTGACAGAGATAAATTTTTACACCAGTTATTTCTACGACTTTCCGATATCTGTCCGTCTCTCCTCGCAGCAACTCGACCAGTGGTTATAAGAAACTATTTAACGTATATTTGAAGTCAAACTACAGTGGATAATACGCTAATCAAGAAGCCAAAGTAAATCCTCAACGATGCAACAATATATGTCAACCACAGGCGGACAAGTTCCAAAGTTTACAAGTAGCGAAAAGCTCAAGGCAAAGTTAATGTGAGACGTTCCTCAAGGTATAATGCGACCTGGCGTGACGTCAGTTACTGTTACATCACATGAATGCTAAATAATTTTAAAGGAAATTACATGAATGCTAACATCCTGTGCCAAAGCGGACAAAAGAACGTCAATGGCACCACAGTTCAATTTGCAGAATTTCTGCGCAAAGAGAAGCCGTTGACGCAGATTCAAATTCCCGATTTTCGTATCTTGTTTACTTGTAAGTCAGTATTGTCGATGGAAATCTCCAAAGGGCTTATGACAATGTAGTTGTGAAAGATGTGTTATGTCGGATGTAAACGTCGAGTATTTGAGAACAACAGATATACTAAATATATGCCTTAACATTCAAGCCAACTGACAAGGCAAAGATGTGGAACCCAGAATCGCCACTTTTGAAAATAGCAACAACAACCACTCCCCACCCACCCCACCCCAAAAGAAAAGACAAAAGACAACAACCCCCAAAAACAAAAAACAAACACAAAACAAATGCACAAAACAAAACAAAACAACAAATAAAACCAATAACATAACAATAAACAAAACAAACAAAAAAAAGCCCGGAAACAACAAATATATAAACAACACAAAACAAACAACAAAGACAAAATGCCAAAAATGCAACAATGCATACATCAACAACGTACACACCCCAATAAAAACTAGCAGCAACAACAAAAACACTGCAGAGAAAACCCACCAACACTCCACCGCACCATGAAGAGATTATAAAAGAGCCTATTTCTAAAATATTTTTGTCTTAGAGTTTCTCGTAAGACCAGTTAGCACTTTGCACATTCGTTATTATTCGTTATTTATTGAATGAAGATCCGCCTTAATGCATCCCATGTCATGGCCAAATGAGTATTAATTATTATATATTTGAATGTGTGGATTTTTACACATATCAGACACCATTTAAGTGATAATGTTCCAGCCTCATGTGAACTTTTCACAACTGTTTCAAGCCACTCTGATTTTAACATATTTAAATGAAATTAAACTATTCGACAAATTATAGTCATTTTGTACCCTTAAATGTGATGTTGACTGACATTTTAGTGATTTTGAATCAGTTTGATTGTATCTAATATACAGTAAAACCACAGGTTCGAAGTTTAACTCAAAACCTGGAATACATTTAAACCTTTTCTTACGTTCTGTTTTCATTCAACTAGGTCGAGGGGCGGTGGGAGCTTTTATTGTTAAACGTTCCGATCGTCATGCTGCAGACTGGGTTCCATTCCCATTAGTTGCAGATTATTGTGTAAAGCCATTGATGAGCGCAGATTCAAATTCCGATTTTCACGTATGTTGTTTATTTGTAAGTCGGTAATTGTGGATGGAAATCTCCAAAGGGCTTATGACAATCGCCAGTTGTGAAAGATGTGTTATTTTATCTGGATAAACTTCGAGTATTTGAGAACAACAGATATACCTAAATATATGCCTTAACATTCAGCCAACTGACCTAGAGCAAAGATGTGGAACCCAGAATCGCCGCCACTTTTGAAAATAACAACAACAACTACCCATGCCGCAGACCGGGTTCGATTCCCCACGTGCGTACAAAGTGTGAAGCCCATTTCTGGTGTCCCCCATCGTGATATTGCTGGAATATTGCTGAAAGCGGCGTAAAAATAAACTCACTCACTCGGCTCAATCTTGAGTCAGTGGTCCCTGCTGGTGGAATTACGTCCCCGAGATTAATCATATGCTCAGTAGCATATTTAATCATGCAAAGTCAAATACAAAAAATATGTTTGGACGAAGACTGACTCCCCAATCTGTTTGTATGTCAAATCTTGTTCCCAAACGTTTTATTTCACTTACAAACATGAGAATCTCTTCACGTCAGCTGCAGCAGTGTTCCAAATTATGGGTTCAACGATCACTTGTTGTGTGGGTCCCGGATCCAGCCACAACGTTCTCAACAGCTTACTACATCTCGAAAGCCTGTGATAAACTATAGTGTTACGACAGGTCGTAACGTTACGAAATACTGTGGATCGGGACCCACCGTCACATGATAGGTGCGTATTATTGCGGCATCAGGCTAAAATACCTCAACTCTTTAGGCAGATTTAGTGAATGGCAAATGCTGCCGCTTGTGCAGGGACAGGCTTACCCTTTTTGCAAACACCTGGTGTCATCACATTCAGTGAATTATTCATATAGTTTTTGCAGCTATTTTCCCTTTACACTAATGGAATTTGTTTTTGAGCGTGTTCTCTCGCTACATGTTTCCCCAGAAATTATTAACAAACCCTTTGTTTCCTACAATACCGATAATAGAATGTAAAATTGCTGTTACATTATGTTGTAAGGTACTCAATATGGATGGGAGGCAAACCTTAATGAACTTAAGAATGAACCTTACTACATCAAGCAGAGTTATCTCCTGGTGTAGCA